TGATCCTTATGTCAATGTCATTGATGAAAATATTAAACAGTACTGGTCCCAGTATGGATGCCTGAGGGACACTACTTATCACTGATCTTTATTTGGACACTGAGCCCTCCATATGTGACCTTCCAACCAATTCCTCATCCGCTGAATAGTCCACCTATCAAATCCATATCTCTCCAATTTAGAGAGAAAGGTGTTGTGGGGGACCACGTCAAAGGCTTTACAGAAGTTCAGATAGATGATATCCATAGCTCCTCCCATGTCCACTGATGCAGTCACTCCATCATAAAGGTCATTATGTTGGTCAGGCAAGATTTGCCCTTGGTGAAGCCATGCTGGCTGTCTCAAATGACCTCCATGTGCATCAGCATAGCTTCTAGAATGGTCTGTTCCATGATCTTCCCAGGCACAGAGATGAGGCTGTCAGGGCAGTAGTTCCCAGGGTACTCCTTTCTACCCTTTTTAAAAATGGCTGTAATGTTTCCCTTCTTCCATTCACCAGGGACTTCACCTGACTGCCATGATTTTCAAATATCATGGCTTCACAGCTACATCAGCCAATTCCCCCAGGGCTTTGGAGTGCATCTCATCAGGTCCCATAGACTTATGTATGTTTAGGTTCCTCATGTGGTCATGAACCTGATCTTCTCTTACAGTGGGAGGGACTTTGCTCCTCCAGTTCCTGCCTTGTGGTCCTGTCTTTACTGGTAAGACATGCAATGAGGAATCCTGGGTCTCTGAGACAAGGGTGGAAGACTAAAGCAAGGAAAACTTCCTCTTGGTAGAGCAGGATAAGGATAATGAATGCCCAAACTGCATACCTAAGTAAGTCCATGTGACTTGATGGGATGTATCCATGAGTACTGAGGGAGCTGGCTGATGTCATTGTGAGGCCATTCTTGATTATCTTTGAAAGGCCTAGGTATGCCAGAAGTTCTTCTTGAGAGAAGGCAGCAATGAGGATCCAGGGAACTACAGCCTCACATCCACCCCTGAGAAGATAATGGAGGAAATCCTCCTGAAAATAATTGTCAAACACATGAAAGACAAGGTCACTGGGAGTAGTCAGCATGCTTTTATGAAGATGAAATTGTGCTTCACTAACTTCACAGCCTTCTGTAATGAGATGACTGACTTGGCAGATGAGGATAGAGCAGTAGAGATGTTTATATTAATAACACTTTCAGCAATCTCTGATAACATCATAGATAAACTGATGAAGTATAGAACCATAAAATAATATCATAGAACAGTTTGGGTTGGAAGGGACCTTTAAAGGTCCCTAGTCAAACATCCCTGCAATGAGCAGGGACATTTTCAACTAGATCAGGTTGCTATCCACCCCAGTATGGGATAATTGGATAGTGAGGTAGATTGGAAACAGCCTGAATTTCTAAGTTCAGAGGGTTGTGATCAGCAGCACAAAGACAAGCGTGAGACCAGTCCCTTGTGGTCAGTACTAGGGTCTTACCACTGAACACCTTCATTAATGACCTTGTGTCATTGTTTAACCTGGCAAACAGCTAAACACCGCAGTGTCTGCTCGCTCAGCTCCCTCACCCCTTCCCAGTGGGATGGGGAGGAGAATCAGGAGAGTAAAAGTAAAATAACTCATCAGTTGATATAAAGACCATTTAAAATAAGCCAAACTGAAATAATAATAGTAATGAACCACAACAAGAATAGGAACAACGATAATAAAGCAATCAAAGTTATATTCAGTTCAGTATACGGCAGCCACTGGCCATACACCAATGAAAACATGACAGGGGAGGTGTAAGCCTCAGGAACAGAGACAGGCCACCATCACAAAGTAGAAGGGAAGGGATCGAAAAGAAGAAAGGGTTGTCCCCAATAAACTCCACAATTTATAGAGTGTGTAATCTTTATGGAATAGAATACATCTTTATCAGTCAACTTGAATGACACCTGGACCATCTGTCCTGGGTCACCTGTCCCAGAGAGTCTCAGGCTTTTGCTTCCCTCCCCTATCCTCTTGTGTAGAGAGAAGGAAAAATGAAACAAAGAAACTATAAACACAGGTGCTGGTGAAAGACTGAAAAACAAAACCTTGAAAAAACATAAATATCTCTTGGCAAAAATGAAAATAAAAAACTTATCAGCTACTGTAATGAAAATAAAATATCAACTTGCAGTTTTCTCAGAAATCCAGCTCTGCTGAAGCATTAAAGGAGAATTCTACAGTTCAATTCCAGCAAAAACAGGACACCTTGGCAATGGCACAAAGTGCATGCTCATAAGTTTGCAGACGATCCAAAACTAGGAACAGCAGCTGATGTACCTGATGATGTCCCTCTGAACAGAAACAACTGACGGATGGAGAAATGGGCAGAGGAACCTCATGAAGTTCAGCAAAGGGAAGTGCTCTCCTGCACCTGGGGAAGAATAACGCCATTTAGCAGTACAAGCTGAGGCCTGACTTACTAAAAGCAGCTTTGCAGAGGGTATGTTTAAGCACTTCCTTAACCACTGTTTACAGCCTCGTGTTTTATCAGTAGTTTCTCACCATGTTTAGGCTGATGTGACTGAAGTTCTTTCTGCAGCTGCCAGCATTCAAATTGGTGTAAGAGCAGCATGTAACTGATTCCTGAGATGGCCTGGTGCCAGTTTCAGTTTGAGATACAGCAACGAGTGTGTGAGGTTTGACAGTTCGTGAGCTGCTTCAGAAGCAACTCCTGAGGTTAAACAGTTAAAGGCTGTCACTAGGCTAGTAATTATTTCCAGCCCAGAAGCTGAGGAATAGTAAACCTACCCTCAGCACAACCCTAGCCTCCTTGCTACCCAACTAACCTTTACCCACTGCCAGACTAGCTGATGGGAGAAGCAAATGTGGTAAAGCAATCTTGTGAAAAAGAGCGAGAAAATTGGTTACTTGTCAGCTAGAGGTGTTCATCATGCAGGCACACAGGATTTGTCAGTACTGTTACACTTGAATTAAATAAATCAAATATTTTAAGAATAGTGTATGTGGATAAATAGAGTTATAACGATAGAAGTAGTTATGTTAAGGCTTGATTTTAGGGCAGGCCTTGATTGGGAAACCTGCCCTGGGAAACTTTGTGCTAGGAATAGAGCATAGATAAGATAGAAACAATGTTTGAAGGATTCAACAGAGCATGTAGAACACAAGGACATAGCAGATTGTTGTTAGTGATTTGTTGCTAGTGGTAGAGTTAAAATATAACATACTAAAGGGATCGTGGTGGTGGGAGTTAAGTCGGATAAACAAACTCATAGTCTTAAGCAAGCTGAGCATGTAAGATTTATAGCCAAAGAAACTATTATCTCTATGATGAATGTAACCGTTTGTAGCTAAGAAATGTGTATCTCTGCACGTAGACCAAGCTGTAACAAGGTATAAAAGCTGAAGCAAAAATGGGGGTCTTTGGGATCCTGACTTTGGACGATAGTCCTCAGGTCCCCGGGCCCTGAATAAAGCACCGCATAAACTGACACTCTGTTAGTTTGTGTTCTTTGTTCTACGGGCAACAGTACTACACTTCTGCAGCTTTATCATGTCTCCTGACCCCAGGAAAGAGATCTCCATGGAGGCCTGCTAGCAATCCCTGCTCAACCCAGCACCTCCCCCCAGCATGGGGGTGTCTGCCTTCCAATGCTAAAATAAATATTTTAATGTGCTTATTTGAAAATGTTTTTTGTTGAAAAAAAAAGTTTTCCTAAACTGTCAAGAATCCCATGAACGATTTTGATGTAATAGAGTAAAAAGCCACTGCCTGCACACACGCTCTATGAAACTGCTTCCTCTCATCCTCTTCACAATCATCACATTTCCTCTTGTTCATGGCCCTGTTATGTCCTTCCAGGAAACTAGCCCTCCAAGCCACCCGCCACACAGGAAACACAGCTTTCTTCTGCATTTCCTTAGGGACAGATATCTGTCCATGGTGGCTGAGACCAGTCTGCTCCTGTAGCCTCCCTGGTGCTCAGGCTACTTGAGGACATCTTGCTTGTGCTGTCGAGGGGAAAGCTAAAACTAAGTTTGCTCTGTTGGCTTTGTGTGCTTCCTGGTTTTGTTACAAAATTCACAACTGATGACTGAATAGAATTACAAAGGTAAATATTTATTAATGTGCATGAAGTGTCCCAGCCAAACTGCATACATCCAAGTGACTTTTCTGTAGGGCTTTTATAGCTTATACTGTAAGGGTATGATATGAATCATCCAGTTACCTACTAATGCATATTTCTATTGATCCAATCATAAAAAGTATATTTTGTATGTCTTGCAGCATCAGCATTCTTGCAGTTTATCTGTTAAACCAGATGTTTCAGTCATAGACTTCAGCAAAGCTATTGGGCATCATCAGCAACCCGTTTCTCTTAGATAAAGATCCTCCAGTTAATTTTGCAAGAACAGAGGTTTCCTTATCTTCGTTGATCACTTGTTTTTTTTAGTAAGGGTAGTTAATGGGGTTCAGGTCTGAAGATAATGATGCAGCAATTATTTGCTAATAATGTTGTTTGTGGTCTCAATTTATATCACACTATCCCAGCAGAAATTTAGAAAGACATTAAAAAATACAAAAAGACAATAAAAAATACAGAGAGAAAATGAATTGCAGGTATAAAGATCTGGCAGAGAGCAGGCTCTCACCTCTGCAGATTAATGGCGATTAGGAAAACTGGTGCTATGGTTTCCACTCCACTAATGGCAGCAGTGAAGGAAACCGTGTCTAAAACAAGTGTGCCCCTTGCCTGAAGGCTCTTAACCTCCTCCAGCTCCCCTATACTTCTTCCTAGCTTGGGAAAATATTCTGTCCTAAACATTAAGCGCTGGAAGTAGAGAGGAAGCAGCCCCTGAGGGGATGGCAGGGCCAGCGGGCAGCAGGACTACATCTCCCATCATGCCCGTCACCTGGAGGGAGCCGCCGCCATTTCGCCACCATTCCCCGGAGCTGTTGGGCCGGGGCGGTGTCGCGTTCACGGTTCCCCGCTCCCCGAAAAAACCCTCGGCGGTGGTTGGGACGACGCCGGCGAGAAAGTCCAGCTCCTCCTGGACCTGTGAGTGCCGCCCCGACACCCTCCCCCACCGTGCTCGCTGGCGCCCTTTCCCTCCGGGAAGTCCGGTGGGTTCGGGGCCGGCCGCGCAAATCAGACCGCTGCCTTCACAACGGGGCCGCGGCCTCGAGTATATGTGGCCTGCGGGGCCCTCCTGTGGGGAGACCCGGAAGAAGGGTTTGGCCAGGGTGACAGGGCAGGGGACAGGGTTTGGCAGGCCTTTGGTGGGAGTGGCAGAGTGGGGGTAAGCGCT